GATATGTGCGGAGATCGACGCTGCGCGGGTACGTGCTGCCGCTGACCCTCTACACTTCTTGGTGATCGTGCAGGGCGACCTCAACTTCGGCCCTGATGAGGCGTTGCTCCTTCAGCGGCCTGTACCAGCTCGTGCTACTGATCCTCGGAATCATCGTGCTATGGCAGCTCGGTGGCTGAGGACATTGGGATTAGTTCTTGAGATTTCTTCGGAGTCACCGACGCACTACACAAAGGACACCAACTCGGTCAGCTGCCTCGATCGGTTCTTCTGCTCGGTGCCTGGGTGGATGATGTGCCAGATGTGTGCGGAATCCTCCACCATCGGAGAACCCGAAGAATTATCTCGCTCTATGATATCGGACCACGCTGCTCTGCTCACGGCGCTTCGTCAACGTCACGCGCGCCCCAGGTCTGAGCAGCCAGTTCCTCGCCATGTCTTCGAGAGTCCTCTCTTTCGGCAGCGTATTGAGGGCATGTTCAAAGATGGTGCTGGCGCTGAGACGTTGTGCTCTGCGGCGGTCTACCAGGAACACTTCAAGGACATGTTGAAAGAGGCTGCCCGTGAAGTTCGTGACTGGATGTTTGTCCACCATCCTGCTGGCGACGAAACAGCGTTGCTTGTTGCCCGAGGATGTGCGCGTGCAGTATGGCGTCAAGATCTTCCTCTCGCCCGTCGGCTGGTGGCGACCTCGGCTACCGCAGCTGGCCTGCTCGACGTCGGAGGCTCACAAGGTGTCCTTCGTCATCCTGAATCGTTCCACATGTGGACGGATGGAGTTCATATGAGGCTCCTGGAAAAAGAGATTCGTGCTGCTGCTGACGCTGCTGCAGGCTCTCGTTCGACCCGTCCGCCCTCTTCGTTTCGTCGTCGGCAGTTGTTGGAGCGCCAAGCTGCGATCTGGGCCCCCTTCTCACGGAGGTTGGTTCTTCGTGTTGTTCGGGACGGCCCTCGGTTAGCTGAACCTCCTGGGGAAAGGGTTGCTGCCATCACGGAATATTGGCGTCCTGTCTTCTCGCGCTCGGAAGTCGATCTCGAAGCTGCTCAGACTTATATCGAACAGCAGTGCCCCTCACCTGTGCACCCTGACGTCCCACCACCTTCGAAAGCGACGATTCGAAATATTGTTGCTCGTGCTCGCCACTCTGCCCCTGGGGTTGACGGACTGCCGTGCGCGGCATGGGCAGCTGCCGATTGCTGCCTGGAAGTATTATGTCTTATGATGGACTGGATCTTGCGTGGCCAGTCGCTCTTCGACTCGGCCAGCGTTACTCTGCAAGCGCACCTTCCTAAGGGATCGGAACACGAAGACTTGGCCCCTGGAGGCTGCATCCGCACTGCCGATAAGATCAGGGTCCTCGGGCTCCGCAACACCGACCTGAAAATACTGACGTCTGCCGTGAACCGATCACTTAAAGGTGTCGTCGACTCCCTCGTCCCTCAGTCGCAGCGCGGCTTCGTTCAGGGCCGAAACTTCGGGTACAACATCTTAGAGCTAGACGGCTTCAGTCGTATCGCTGGGGCCCACCCGCTGGCCCCTTCTAAGATGCCGCTGCTGGTCTCGTTCGATTTCGGCCAGGCCTTCCCGAGCCTCTCCCAGGAGTTCATGATTCTTTTCCTTGCTCACCTTCGCCTGCCATCCCCAGTGCTGCACTTCCTGGCCTGGTTGTACTCTGCGATAGAAGGGGTCGTGGCCCACGGTGGCCTGCTCCACTCGGTGTATTGGCTGAGGTCGGGGATCATACAGGGCCGCGGCCTGTCTGGGACCTTGTACGCGTTGAGCACGGCCCCGTTCCTGACTGACTTGGAACGTTCCCTTGAGGATTCTGGACTTGGCCTGGCGAGGGCCTGCGCGGACGATATTGGGGCTGTCTTGTTCGAGGCTCGCGGGCTCCAGGTGCTCTACCGTGTGAAGACTACTACGAGGCTCTTAACTGGGCTTTGCCTCAAGGTCAGTAAATGCAAGGTCGCCCCGCTGCACGCGACGTTCAGCCCTGACCTTCTGGAAAGGACACGCGCTCTCCTCGGTCAGCTTGTTCCCGAATGGCAGGCTTTCGAGGTCGTGGCCCACCTGATGTACCTTGGCGTTCTCTTGGGGCCCGACGTCACGATCCAGATGCAGTGGGACGCTGCTCGGATGAAACTAAAGTTACGTGCCAGGCTCATTGGTTCCGGCTCCGCTCCCTTGGGGATCAACGGCGTGCTCTACCGATCGAGAGCCCCCCCTGTCTTGTCCTACCTGGCCCAGTTCTTCCCTCTGCCTCCCAGGATGGTCGCTTTCGGGCTCTCTGTGCTTACCCAGGTATTCCGTGCTCCCATGGGTACTCTGTCTGCCTCTGGCTGGGCCCAGCTCTCTGCGTGGGGTGGCCCCAAGATCGCGCTCGTGCAGCATGCGTGTGCTGCTGCGCTGTCTCGAGCTGCCACCATTACGTTCAGCGAGCATACCCACATACGCTCTAACATTACTAACACTACTCTTTCATGGAATGATGATCTACTGCAGGGACGGTTTGATGATGCTTCCATCGCGGCCTGTCGCACTCGGGTGGATTGGATGTGTGACGCTGGACGGCACTGGCGGCAGCCGCCCATCCTGCAGACCTATTCCTGGCTGCGTCAGGGCTCTGCGTGTGCTGGCTACCCCTCAGACATTCTACGCTGTTGTACGTCTGCGATTGCTTTGGAACTATTGGTCGCGGGACGTAAGCTCAAATTTCAGAGAGCAGCCACCACAGCACTATACGAGCAGTTCGTCACACCGTTCCCGTTGAGCGCGATCTTCGAGACCAGGCTGGCACGCTACTTTGCCATGTATGAACCCTTCTTACATCGGGTGCCGTGGGAAGCGATCCAGATGCTGCTGCAGCTGCTGCCCACGAGCTGGGTCTTCCCTGTTATCAAGACGTGGGCCTCCGCTTGGCTCACAAGTTATCGAATAAGTTACCCTTCGGGGAAACGGCGGTGTATCTTTGGGTGTAACACTTGTGCGGACAGGCAGTGCCACTACATGCGGTGCCGCCGTCAAGTTCGTGCTGTCGGCCGCGCACTGGGTCGCTCACTTCCTGCCTTTCTTCATGAGCGTCTGTGCCTGACGGCACCGTGTGTCGAACGGGCGGAGGAGCTGGTGGTGATGTACACTACGTATCACACAGTTCGTTATCGCGATTGGGTTACCCCTGCTGTTCTGAACTCTGCGACTCGGGCTGCTGTCAGAACTCTCCGAATGGCGTCTCCAACAGACCAGCTGGAAAAGAAATGGAAGCCGCCGCCGTCCTTCATACCGACACCGCGCACGGTCACCGATGATCTTGCCACCTCCTCGGCAGACGACCCCGACGTCGACCATGCCGTTCTGGCTGCTGGTGATGGTGAGGACGACTCCGACGCTGCTGCGCGAGCCCGTCAACGCATCTTGCTGACTCAGACGTACGAGACTGACCCGAGCTACGAAGCGGCCCTGATCACCGATGATAGCTACTCGCCTGCGAACGGTGAAGGCTTGGCCCCAGGGCGGTCACCATGCTTGACACCACGGCTCGTTCCTACGATGCCAAGCCCTGGCACTCCGTCGACGCTGATCGCCACGCCCGAACGTGTTGGACATAGTGACGGTTGTGACGACAATGTTACTGGCAGAACGCAAAGTCCTGTGCACGGGTGCTCCTCGAGCCCGTTGCTGCAGGCTCAGTCGTCGCCAATGTCGCTGGGTGTTGGTGGAAATTCTGGCCTTTGCGCATCAAGAGTGAATTGTGAGCGTGGCGTCTCAGCCGAAAATCAAACTGGCGTCAGATCACGAAGTCCTGGTGGCGGGTGCTCCTCGAGCCCGCCCTCCCAGGCTCCACGAGTATCTTGCGAGGAGTTGTCTCATCTGTCCAGTGGCGTCAGAACGCAAAGTCCTGGGCTTGGGTGCTCCTCGAGCCCAATGCCCCAGGCTCGAGTAAATTGCGAGTTCAAGGTCCCCAGCTCCATGGTGTCGATGGCGGTGAGACGCTCCCGTCGTGGCTACCTTCTGTCGACGGCTCCTATTTCCCCGACCTCTACGCGCCCGCCCTGCTCTTCGCCGACCTTGCCAGGGCTTTCCCCTCGCTCGCCACGGGTTCTGACTGCTACTCCGCCGATGTCGATTTCCGTGGGTGCTTCGCGAATGGCGGCCCCCTCTTCGTGCGTTGCCACTGGACGCCCGTCCTCGGCGACCCCGCGGGCTCAGAGGTTGTCTCCTGCCACTCCTCGTTCGGCGTCGAGCACCCCTTCTCGCCCTGAGGCCTTTGCTGGAAAAGCCCGTTCCATGTTGCCTGTCTTTTTTACCTCCGCTGCTCGGCGCACCTCCCCCGCCCTGTCGCTTGCGACTTATTTGCCCGCCGCCTCCCCAGTGCCCCTCGCTCCGCGCGCCGTCTCGCCTGCGCCGCCTGGCTTCCGTCCTCGTGTTGTCTCTCCCCCGTCCTTTCCTCGTTCGAGCTCTGCTGCTGCGTCTGCGTGCGCCCCTCCTGCTCCTCCTCTGAATAAAATGACGGCTCCTGCCCGCGCTTCATCTTCCACCAGATCTGCTGCTTCGGCATCAAGGCCAGGAGCGGCTTAGTGGGGGCGGGGATCCTGACCTCTCTTACGCTGGTCTCCTCCTCCTCCTCCTCCTCCTCCTCCTCCTCCTCCTCCTCCCCCTCCTCCTGCCTCTCCGCCTCCTGCTCCTCCTCCTTACTCCTCCTCCTTCCCTCCTCCTTCCCCTCTCTCCTCCTCCTCCTGCTCCCTCCCTCCCTCCTCCGCTTCCTCTTCCTCCTCCTCCTCCTCCTCCTCATCCTCCCCTCTCCTCTTTTCCTCTCCTCCTCCTCCTCCGCGCCCCTCTGCTTTCTTCCTCCTCCTGCTTCTCCTCCTCCTATCCTCCTCCTACCCTCCTCCTCCTCCTCCTCCTGCTCCATCCTCCTCCTCCTGCTCCTCCTCCTCCTCCTCCCTCCTCCTCCTCCTCCTCCTCCTCCGCCTCCTCCTCCTCCATCATATCCTCCTTCCCTCCTTTTTGCGCTGGGCGAACTCAAGGTGCGTGGCCTGTAGCGTTCGCCCCTCCCTCCCCCTCTCCTCATCCGCTAGCCCCCCTGCCCTGGCCCCGAAGCCCCGGCGGCGATGCCGCCCGCCGCCGCCGCCAGCCGGCAGCGCAGCCAGTCCTCCCGCTCCCCCGCGCCGACCGGGGAGCCCTCGCCCGCCGGGCCAGCGCCTCGCGGCACGAAGGGGAACGACAGGGGAGCCCAGCTCAGGAAGGGAAGGGGGAGGAGGGAAGAGGAGAGAGGAGGAGGAAGGATGAGAAGGAGGAGGAGGAGGAGGAGGAGGAGGAGGAGGAGGAGGAGGAGGAGGAGAAAGGATGAGGAGGGGAGGAGGAGGAGGAGGAGGAGGAGGAGGAGGAGGAATAGAAGGGAGGAGCAGGAGGAGGCGAGGCAGCAAGGCAACGAGGGGGGCTGCGGACCACCGCCAGTCAAGCTTCCGAAGGTGAGGAGAAAAGGCGGAGGAAGGATGAAGGATGAGAAGGAGGAGGAGGAGGAGGAGGAGGAGGAGGAGAAAGGATGAGGGGATGAGGAGGAGGAGGAGGGGAGAGGAGGAGAGGAGGAGGAGGATTGGCGAGGAGGAGGAGGAGGAGGAGGAGGAGGAGGATGAAGAGGTGGACGAGGAGGAGGAGGAGGAGGAGGAGGCGAGGAGGAGGAGGGGAGGAGGAGGAAGAGGAGGAGGCGAGGAGGAGGAGGAGCAGAGGAGGAGGATGGAGCAGGAGGAGGAGGAGGAGGAGGAGGAGGAGGAAGGAGAGTAGGGGAGGAGCAGGAGGAGGAGGAGCAGGAGGAGGCGGAGGAGGAGGAGGAGAGAGAAAAAGAGGAGGAGGAGGAGGAGGAGGAAGGAGAAGAGGAGGACAATAGGGGGGGGGTGGTCCCTGTACAGCGAGCTGGGGGGATGGGGACGGGGAGGCTCCGTCGCAAGGTTAGTCACCCCTTCCCCGATTATTACGTATCCAGGGTAGGGGGGCCCAGCTCACGGGGGAGGGAACATCGAGCCAGAGTCGGCGACACATCGCCCATGGATCGGCGACAGGTCCCCGTATTTCGAGTCCGCCCGTGCCAGATCGGGGGGGGGGGGGGGAAATCCGACCTCTGTCGGCGAGGAATGGCCGATTGGGGATCAATGCATCCCCCTCTCAACTTTGGGTTTCGGCCATAACTCGGGTCTACGGCCGCCGTTCGCAACGATCCGGGCACCCCCCACAGCGCCCTCGGCGACGCGCAGTTGCTGGAACGCACCCCGAGGCTTGCAGGCCGCCGTGAGGAGGAGGAGGAGGAGGAGGAGGAGGAGGAGGAGAGGAGGAGGAGGAGGAGGAGGAGGAGGAGGAAGAGGAGGAGGAGTGAGGAGAGGAGGAGAAGGAGGAGGAGAAGACGAGGAGGAGGAGGAGGGGAGTAGAGGAGGAGGAGGAGGAGGCGGAGGCAGAGGAGAGAGGAGGGAGGAGGAGGAGGAGGAGGAGGCAGGAGAAGGAGGAGGAAGCGGAGGGAGGAGGAGGAGGAGGAGGAGGAGGAGGAGGAGGAGGAGGAGGAGGAGGAAGAAGAAGACCCACCAAAACGCCCGATGACCTCGAAGCTCGCGCCCGAAGCGTCTCCCCTGAGCCCATCGCCCCCTCCCCGAGCGCTGCCCCCGAGGCACGTCGTACGGGAGCAGCACGGCCGAGGAGCTCGAGGGCCTGGCCCGGAAGCTCCCGGCAAGCCCAGCGGCCGTGGCGGGCCGGCTGCCCGCCTGGCAGCTGGTGCGCAGGGTGTGGCTGATCTCGGTGCTCGCCGGCATGTTCAACATATCCGAGGGGCTGCCGCCCGGGGGCTGCCGCCCAGGCGCCCCCTCCCTGCTTTTCCCCTTTGCCTTCCCCCTCCCCCTCCTCCTCCCCCTCATCCCCTCCTCCTCCTCCTCATCCTCCTCCTCCTCATCCTCCCCTTTCCTCCTCCTTCCTACTCCTGCTTCTCTTGCTTGCTCCGCTTCCTCCGCTCCCTACTCCCTGCTCGTCCTGCCTTTTCTTCTTCTCCTCCTCCCTCCTCATCCTCCTCCTCCTCCTCCTCCTCCTCCTCCTCCTCCTCCTCCTGGGCAGGGTGAATTCGGAGATGGGAACGCTGGCTCGGCACGGGAACGCGGGGACCGTCCTCAGAACAGGAAGGCCGGTCACCAGAACGGGGCGGTGCACGCGTCAGGAGAGCACCAAGTGCTGGTCCGCTGGACTCGGCGCCCTGCCGCTGAACCCGGTGCCCTGCCGCCGGGGGGCTGCCGCCCGGGGCCCCAGGTATGCCCGCGTCGTGAAGAAGGAGACGACCTGAGGTTTCTGGCCCGTCTTCGGCCTCTCCGGGGGGGATGGTCGGCCACGCGCAGAGGGGGGAAGGCTTCTTGGAACCACCCCTGCGCCTCAGAAGGCGCGGGCCTCATCTGTAGATATAAGGCCCGCTTATTTCAAGTAGCAGCCTCCTTCTGAGAAGCCTTCCCCCCTCCCCCTACCCCTCTCTGCGCGCCGCCAATTTGGGGTTCTGATGTTCCAAACTACTTCAGCCTTCAGCACCAGAAAGAATTTCGAGCACCAAGAAAGGATCGAAACTGGACGGTGTTCACGCATCGGACCCTGGGAGGCGATACTCGTTCGGCACTTCGCTAGCGTGTCGAGCAGGCACAGCTTCGATACTGCTCGGGGTGCTCGAATTGTTTCTGGGACGTGGTCCTTAAGTACGATGGGAGCAACAGAACTCTGGGGGCCCTCGCTGGGTCCCAGGACCGTGGGATTCCGCCGACCCCCACGAGAAGAGAAAGAGAGAGAGAGAGAGATATTGGCGTCGCAGCTGTTTTCACAGTGGGCCTGTTCGCCCAGGTTCAGGCGCCAAGCGCTGGGCCCCTCACGGAACGGTCCATCTCGAAAAGTGCCGCAGAAAGAAAGAGTCGGGTGGCAGGGCGTTGCTCGTGATTTCTCGCGATGTCGCAGCTTTTTCGCAACGTCAGATCTTTGGGATTCCGCCGACTTCCAGGAGAGGAGAGGGAACCACCGTGGTCGCCAGGCTCGGGTAGGAGCTGCAAGGGCCGCGTTCGGGGTGGGTCGGAGGGAGAGGAGGAGGAGGAGGAGGAGGAGGAGGAGGAGGAGGAGGAGGAGGAGGAGGAGGTGAGGAGGAGGAGGAGGAGGAGGAGGAGGAGGAGGAGGACGACGAGACGAAGAAGGAGGGCCGTGGGGCTGCTGTGATTGGGCCGTCGCTTCCATGCAGGGTGGCGTTCGGGCGGTGCGGGGCGAGCAGGTGCCCAATGAGCGACGCAGAGAAGCGGGTGCCAGGGGAGCAGGTGCCAAATGAGCTTGACGGCGCGGGCACTCGCGCGTAACATCCTTAAACATGTAGCGTGCCGTATTGGCGGCCCGCGAAAGGTGGCCATGCCATCGTGCGTAAGACCTGTTTTTTTGCTCGTCCCTCAAATGACCCTCACGGCGCCTAGGTTGTAGGCAAGAGGCCTCTCAGAGGCCTCTTGGGGTTTCTTGGAAAGCTGCTCGGGGGCCTCTTCCCTGTGATCCGACATTGTAACAAAATTTCAGCATCGCGAAAAAATCACGACGAGGAACCCTAGACCCTAGACCCCATGTTTCTGTGGCACTCTTTCGGCTGGATCGATCTGCGATGGTCCCTGGGCCCAGAACCAGGCAAGCACGCCCGGTGCAGGAAAGCTCCCAGATCTCTGGGCTGGAGGCCTCTTGGCAGTCTTTTGGAGGCCTCTCGGAGGCTCTTTGGGCTTCCCGGGTGCCTTGTGGAGCCTCGAAGCGGCCTCCAGGGGGTCTGGCGTGCCTCTTGAGGGCATGCTGGCCGTCTCGGTAGCTTATCTGGGGGTAGAGGGTTCTCGGGGCCTCTCCAGGGGGGGGCCTCCCCTGAGCGTTTGCGCGCGGTTGCGGGCTCCAGGAGCCTCGCAGATCGATCCCGCTCGAAGAATGCCGCGGAACGACGGGGACCAGAGCTCTGGTCGCGATTTTGTGCGATGCTGAAATTTGGCGCAGCGTCGGATCTCATGGCCTTGGGGCCGTTTCGGCTCCTCTTGGAGGCAGCGGGGGCCTTCTGCGGTGGGGCTCGGGGGCCTCTGGGGCCGCCGTGGGCGCTCTCGAGATCAGCGGGCCGAGTTTGCCTGCCAGCCGGTCGAGGGGATGCATTGCGGCCGCCGCGCACGGGGCGTCGCTCGCTGTTCTGGGCGGGAGCGGCGGACTCCCACCATGCTTCCAACAGGCTCCCAGGAGGCGTCCAAGTAGGCCCCCATAAGCGTGTGGGAGGTCTCGCGTCTACGTCCTGCAAGATCCATCTCAGGGTTTTCAGAGGCCCCTCAGAAATTTGCTGCGGGGCGCCGCACTGGCACGAGCTGGCTGGCCAGGGGCCCGCTGTGCCAAGCGCCCCCCCAATCGTTTGGGTGCTACCGCACCTCGGGGGCGCCCGGCGACCGAGGAGCACCGCGTGGCGCACGGCCGCCGAGGCCCGCGGGCTCGGAAACCACAACAAAATCAACGGGCCGAGCTTGGCGAAAGCCATCGGGCCGTTCTGTCGGATGTGGGCCTCTTGAGGAGGAGGAGGAGGAGGAGGAGGAGGAGGAGAAGGAGGAGGAGAAGGAAGAGGAGGAGGAGGAGGAGGAGGAGGAGGAGGAGTAGGAGGAGGAGGAGATGTTTGGCGCCGTCGTCGTTTCTCGATGGAAGAACTGGCCGTCAAGTAAGTCGCCCGCCTCGGCACCCCTCGGGAGAAGCAGTGGTCGCGCGGATTCAACATGCTGGAGGTGAACATCTTCCTGCCCTACCTCTACACGCGGGTGCGCTGCTGCGGCGCGGGCCCCGGCGCCACGCCGCTGGGGGAGCAGTACGACGTGCGGGCGGACCTGGAGGTCAGGGCCATACGCGAGGAGGCGGCCGGGCGGGTTCCCAGGACCAGAACATGCATCGTCCCAGGGCGTCTTGTGGCGTTCTCACAGCGTTCCGAAGCGCCCTGGAACGGCCGCGGCGTTTGAGACATCCCATGAGCTCCGACGCTGCAAAGAGAGATGCAGCATCGCGGAAGATCACGACAGAGAGCCCTGGACCCCATCTCTCTGCTGCATGTTTCGAGCTGGATCGAGTCGTGAGGATCCCAGCGCCAGAAACCAGGCGAAAAAATCCAGCGTGAAAATGATGCAAAGCCCAGATCTCAGGGTCAGGGCGTTCCAGAGCGCTCTGGAATGGCCGCAGCGCCCGATACATCTCTCAGAATGGGCAGATCTAAGAGATCCCCTGGTATACTCCGATGTGTTTTTTTTCAATGTGCGGCCCCAGAAGACCCGACCCTTTCTCCAAGAGAAGTTGTTTCGCCCCAGACGCGTTTTCGATGGTCACGAGTGGCGTGCGATATGGCCGTTCCGTATAGGCAGCGCGTCACAAAGTGGATGCAACTCGAGCCAAGCGGGCACTGCTACAGGGGCCTTCGGTGGAGCTGCATATGGGGCCACGAAGCGTGTAAAGGGTGTGCCTAAATCGATCCAAATCCGTCATGTGGGTGCTGCCACTGGGGCATTCGGTGGAGCTCCTTGTGGGGCCACGAAGCACCTGAGGAGTGTGCAGAAATGGGCCCGAGTCCGCATGCGGGCGCTGCCACTGGGACTCGAGTCCACTGTCGGGCGCTGCCGCTGAGGCCTTTGGTGGAACCCCCTTTATGGGGCCACGAAGCGTATGAGGGTGTACAAACATTGACACGAGTCTTCACGCGGGCGCTACCACTGAGCTCCTAGGGACGACGAAAGGTGTGAGCAGTGTGCCTAAATGGACCCGAGTCTGGATGCGGGCGCTGCCACTTAGACTTTCGATGGAGTCCCTATTGGGTCACGAAGCGCTTGAGGGGTGTACCAGAATGGGCCCGAGTCCGCATGCGGGCGCTGCCACTGGGGCCTCTGGTGGGGCCCCTCATGGGGCCACGGAATCGAGTCCGCATGCGGGCGCTGCCACTGGTGCCTTAGGCGGAGTTCCCTATGCGGCCACGGAACGTGTGAGGGGTGCGCCAAACTGTGGGGGAACCGCGGATGGACGCACCCACTGGGCCCTCGGTGGAGCTCCGTACGGGGCCACGCAGCGTGCAGGGGGTGTGCCGACATGGGCATGCGGAGAGCCGAGGCACGAGGGAGGAGGGCGAGGAAGGGACGAAGGAAGGGCGCGGGCCTGGCCTCGTCTTCTGCAGGCGGCGGCGCAGGGCCTGGCCATCGAGGGCGGCGCCTCCATCGCGGCGTGCGCGGTGCCCGCCTTCCCGGCCAGCAGCCGGCAGTGGAGCCTCAGCCCGTTCTGCGGCAACCGGGCCTTCGTGGAGGACCGCGCACAGAGGTCGGCCGCGAGCACCGGCGGGCGGGGGATTGGCGGGGGGCCTTCGCACGGAGTGCGATCCCAGGCATCCAACGTCTTGAGACGAGCTAGGCCTCCCTGATGGGGTCGGAGGATCGCGCCGCATCGCCGATGCATCGACGATGCGGCTTGATGTGGAGCCCGTGTTTCCCCACGCCGACGTCGCCGATGCATCGCCGACGTCGCCGATGCATCGCCGACGCATCGCCGATACATTGCCGATACATCGGCGGTGCGGTGCAATCCTCCGACCCCATCTACTCGGACCCCATCTAGGAGGTCTCTAGAGAAGCAAGACGGATGTCTTCCGTTGTTGTCGGCCTCTGGGGGCCTTCGCAGGGCCCTGGGGCCGTCAAAGAACGACTCCGAATGGAGACCCCGCCCAGAGGGAAGAGGGTTGAGACTTCCGGGGGCTCTGGCGATCTGATTTTTTCAACCGGCGGTCTTTCCTCGATTTTGGCTTCGGAGGGTCCGTTATCAGGCCCCGGTTTCATCAAGAGTGAATCCGGGACGAAACAGGGGAACTGGTCGGGACCTCTGGGGCTGCGTCGTGAAGAAACACGACGGCCTGTTTTTACAGACTTTCAGCCGTCAAAAAGCGGCTCAGGATGAAAAGCCGGTCCCGTGGAATGGCTCGCGCAGGGGCCTGAAGGGCGACGACAGGGGAGACGACAGGTTAAAGGTTCCGAGGCTTTCGGGCGTTTTCCTCGGTGCTCGGCGGTTTCCCGGCCTCGGGACGCCTTCCAGCAGATCGCGCATCGCCGAGAACATTCCAGGTTCAAGGGGCCCCCAGATCTTCCTGAACGGCCGCTGGAGAGCCGAGGTGCAGCCCGAAAGCCAGACGACGAGCAGGGCAATGTCCAGGGGGCGGGAGGCTCAGGGGGGCCTGCACCGACCCCCAATCGCCAGGGCTGGAGGGCCTTCGCCCAGGGTGCGGTGCCCGCCCGAGCGTTGGCGGCTCCGCCTTCCGCCGCGCGGGGCCTCTGAGAAGACGGGCGGGCCTCGTCGAGGGGAGGGGCCTTCTGAGCAGGGCCCGGGGCCCGGAGGCTGGCCAGAAGGCCCCTCGGGAGCCCCCGGGGTCCTCTGAAGGGCCCCCGCCGGAGAGACCCAGCCGCCCTCCCCCCCCCCACGCTGCGCCCCACGCTGCGCCCCACCCCCGCGTGCGCGCCGCCGCAGAGGGTGGTCGGCATCAACGGCCCGCTGCAGAAGCTCGCAGGCCTGGCGGTGCTGCCCGTGGGGGGCGCCGTGGCCGACGCCGTCGGACGCAGGCCCGTGCTGATAGCGTACGCGGTCGTTCTCATGGCGGCGTGCTTCTTGTACGCTCTGGACGCTGCCGTGCAGAGCTCGTACGGCGACGTCGGCCCGTGCCTCGGATGTGCTGAGCAAAACGCTGAGGGCGGTTCTTGTTTCGTTTGGGTGATCGACGTTGCTGATACGTTTTGGGCGCCGTTTTGGCTACGTTTTCACAGGTCCGGGATCGGCCCGTGGCCCACCTGCCCGATTTTTTTCCGATTGACATCGCGCTTTCAGTATGTTCTCAAAAATCACAATGCTGCCTGCGTAACGCCCAGTTTCTTGGGTGCTGTTCTCAACACGCTCTGGTCGAGTCAGGAGCGAGAAGTGGAGAGAAGCAACAGCAAGAAATGCCTCCAGCGCTTGCTCCTGACAACTGAGGCCTGTACCTCGCGGGTGCATTGCTCTGTGTGTCCTGGGACCCGAAGGACAACGTGGTCAACGGCGCCGTGTCCGACATGGTCAGCGGAGAGGCAGACAGGGGCCGGGCGTTTGCCTTCATCGTGGCCCTGAACAGTGTCGGTATGGTTGTCGGGTTTATGGCATCGTTCTTCTGCTTGCGGATGCATTTGGAGAACTATCTTCTGCCGTGGCTGTTCTTTGCTTGCATCGGTATGGGTATCTTTGGATTTCTAGCTCTGGGCATGCCCGAGACCTATCCTGCTCATCTGCGCAGTCCAGTGACAACAAGCATGCTTAACCCATTGAGTTCACATTTGCGCAATTTCTCGCTGATCTCCCGCGATCGAGTACTAGTTGGGCTGACAGCTTTGCATTTCTTGTTAATGTTTCATTTTGTAGGCTTCATTACGCAGGGGTTCTCATACTTACTGCTCATGGGCTTCTCCATGGAGGAGGCTGTACTTCCAGGCGTGGTGGGCAGTATGGCACAGGTTGCATGGTCGTTCGTGGTCATGTTTGCTCTGCCCAGGCTTGGGGTGAGAACTTGCTACATTAGCGGCCACGCCATGTTCGCAGTGGCCTATCTGTTCTGGGGGCCATATACTGTCATGATCGGTCGCAGCGGTCCGTACATTGGGAACGTAGCGCAGGGAGCGGCCTTCGCATTAATAATTCCGTCTATGCAGGCTATCATCAGCCAGAGGGTTGAGAAAGACAACCAGAGCAAGAGCTTTTCCGCAGTCTCTGCTGTGTCCACAGTAGGCTGTATGCTCGGAATGGCGTTCTATTCGGGGGTGCTCTTCAGTGGCACGGCCACCGGCATGATGAGGGCCCTGCCCGCCATCGTGTCAGCGTGTCTCGCATTGGCGTGCACCGTGCTTGCTGCGGTGCTTTTCCTGGTCGTTCCTGCGGGAGGCCATGCTGGCGAGTCCTGCCCGGAGCCCAGCAAGCATCGCAGTGGCCCCTGACTCTGGCTGTACAAACCACGTCTAGCAACTGCATTTCTCCAGCCTCGGCATCTTGACGAGGTCTGTTTGATGTCGATGTTCTGCGCCGAGACCGCGATGCGGCTTGGTGCCAGAACAGATATTGAATGATGCTCCGTATTCAACCAACCGTGCAGAGCGCAGTTGGAAAGAAAAATACATAAAAAATTGCGTGATGACCTAACTCTTCATGTTTCGCGTCTCCCCACCAGCCCATTCAGAAGCCCTGCCCACGAGAGCTGACGGGAAAAGGGACGAAGGGACACATCTAGGGAAGCAAAGCGAGCAACCAGGATGAGCCGAGAGATCTCTGGGAGCAAGGGGGTGGCCTTGGAAGGCCTCTTCGGGCCATCCCTGGGGGCCGCGTGAGTCGTCGCGCGCGCATGCCGAAACCCGTCAAAAACTGAACGTCCAAACAAACATATATAAACACACGGTTTCGCAATGTCAAGTTTCAAATAAGCGTGCGTTCGCGCTCTTGCGAATTCTGAAGAAAAACCGTTGGCTCTTCAACATGTCCATGGAATTCTGCCAAACTGGCCTCTGGCGCAACATGCCGACATTATTCGCGCGCCTCTGCTCGCGCGTTGGCGGGGCACGATCCGCGTCAAACCACGCGGGTCACTCTCGCACGTCGGCCGCGCGCGCATGCCGAACTCTTTCCGAAACGTTCATCACCGACGCGAGGACGCCGTCATCGTCGTCGGCGCGATCAGCATCGGCGCCGTCACTGGCCGCGCCGTCGTCGTTGTCAACATCGCCACCAGTATCGCTACTATCATAATCGTGCCCACCGTCGTCGACGTCGCCATGATACCGCGCCCGCCCAAGCCGCCGTCTCGCAGTGAAGTGCCCGCTGGGATGTGCCCAGTGGTCAGCGCTACCGCGGCCACAAGGATGCACCGTCCATTCTAGATATGAACTCGTGTCATCCCAGCCCAACCGATATCGACCCTCCCCGCCACATTTTGGAAACACATTATGCGCGCAAACCCGTTTCTCAACATTGGTTTCCCACGATTCCTTCCCAAAAAAAATGACGAAATGCACGCGCGCGCGTCGTCGCGCGCGCATGCCGAAATCCTTCAAAAATCATGTCTTGCAAATTCTTCTGGAAACCATTGGTTATCAACATTGAATAGAGTGCTACCAAAATGGCTTCGCGCACTCGCATGTCGAAATCGTTCGAACGCCCTTGCGCGCGCCGTCGCGAGAATCCGTTCTGCAGAAAATGGGACGAAGTGCACGCGCGCGTCGTCGCGCGCGCATGCCGAAATCATTCAAAAAACCATATGTTTCGCACGGATGTCACAATCGAGCGCCCCAACACCAACAAAAACACGTGGTTTCGCAACATCAGTTTTCAAAAAAACTTGCGGGCGCGCTCTTGCGAATTCTTCAGAAAACCATAGGTTGTTCAATATTGACCTTGAATTCTGCCAAGATTGTGTGTTCAACATTGTCAGGTCATTCTGCCAAGCGGGCCTGTCGCGCCGCATGCCGGAATCATTCAAAAGCCCTCGCGCGCGTGCTGGGGGGTACGGTCCGTGTCAAATAATATCATGCGGCCACTCTCGCGCGTCGACCGCGCGCGCATGTCAAACTCCTTCCAAAACCTTCATCACCGACGCGAGGATGCCGTCATCGTCGTCGGCGTGATCAGCATCCGCGCCGTTACTGGCCGCGCCGCTGTCGCTGTCAGCATCGTTACCAGCATCGTTACTATCATCATCGTGTCTACCGTTGTCGACGTTGCCATGATACCGCGCCCGCCCAAACCGCCGACTCGAAGTGAAGTGTTCGCTGGGATGTGCCCCGTGGTCAGCGCCACCGCGGTCGCTTCGGTCGCGCCAAACTAGCTGGCCGCTGCGCGCGCGAACATGCGCGGGCTAGCGCGGCCACACCAGCCAACACCAAGCACTCGTCGCAATCGCCTCCGCATGGGTTTTGCAAACCAAGTTGCGGGTGGGTGGGCGGGGCGATTGCGCGAGCAGTGGAGTCGACAACTTCAAGTTCGGTTTGTGAGTTGCACCACGCAGATTTTCCCATAGAGTATGCTGAAACACAGTTGTGGGCCGACGCTGGTTAACAGATTACATATGTGCGTATATACAGATATGTACACACATATCTTTATTTGAATATACAAATGGCGTTACAAATCCAGAATTGTATGTGTATAAATGCACATGCATGTAGCCATATTTATCCATATACTTTTATTCCGAACCACATATCTATATAGGGCCGGAGACTCCGAGAGACCAAAAAAAAAAACTAACGAATTTGGCCCACCCCGGGCCTTTCGGGCAACCCTCCAGACGAGTGGGGCCAAAGACGACCCCAGACCCCAAAAGAAATCGTCATACCCCCAAAGGTCGCTCCAAAACGTCCCAAGAGGCCTCCAAGAGCACTCCCAAGAAGGCCCCAAGAGGCAAAAGTCATTGATTTGTTGTTGTTTTTTTGTGAATTGGGGAGTTCTCCTCTCTTCGGCTCCCCGACGCTCCAAGACGGCGGTCTTCTGGGCGTCCGAAGCCGCCTGGGAGGCTCGAAAATCGCCCCACAACCATCCGAAAGGGCGTCCAGGCAGTCCAAGAGAGCCCCAAAACGGCACAACAGGGTTCCAAGATGGCCTAAGAGAGCCACATGGCGGCCCAAGATGGCCCCAAGACACCCTCCAAAGCAGTCCAAATCGTGACCCAATGGTTCAAAGAGACCACGGTTGGAAGCAGGGTGGCCCGAGGAAGCCCCCAGAGGCCCTCAGAAGACGCACAGAAGGCCACTGGAAGGTTTTCAGAAAGCTTGAAAAATTTCCGTAATGCCCCCAGAAGCTCTCCAAAGAGGGGCTTCCGCAAAAAAAGTTGAGGAGGATGGGGAGAATACACAGGGTAGGGCGAGAATGAGGAAAAGGAAACATGGAGGAAGGATAACGAGTAACATTATTACATCAGCGATGCTGGACAAGGCAACAAGGAGTTACCGCTTAATTGTCGTTTTGAGTTTCCTGCCGTTCCGCATGCATACCAAACTTCAAGGACCAAGGTGCATGGCGCGAAGCGCCAATGCAGTCTTGCATTCATATAGGAGTATAAGTGTAGGCCCGTGGTTTAAATCCGTGGAGCTGCGTGAGTCGAAGTTTGCCGACGCGCGCTTCTGCTTCTGGTGCGGAGGATAAACTTCTTTGACCTCTTGAGGCCATCTTGGGGATCTTCCTTGGGCCGTTCTCGGTCCGACCTCGCGGCCTGGATCTGCTGCGGGGGCTGCTTCCGCGGGGGCCCTGGTCCATCGGCTGGGCTCTCGGGGCCCGGCCGAGCTCTGCCGCGGAGCGCTCTGGTCGCCTGGCTAGCTCTCCACGAGGGAGTTGGAGCGGATTTTGCGGCTTGGACCGCGCTTCGTACCTTCGGCCCCCTGCTTCAGTTACCCCGACGATGGTCGAGGTGATTGCTCCGCCCAAACACGTTCGCGCGGCGAAAAAGAAAACACGACGGAGGGCGTTCGGCCGTTTTCGGCTTCTGGGGGCCCTCGCTGGGCCCCGGATGAAAAAAAATGTCTTGGAGAATGGATCTAGACCCTTGGGGAACCAAGTTGTGAAAAATCACAACGTGGGATGCCTGGTCGTCTGAAAGCACGGAAACATGCGGAATGTGCGTGCATGATAACAGACATCGAAGAGCATGCAGAAGTTGCGGAACAGAGCAGGCAGCGGCGATGTAGCACAACGGAGCAGCCCGCAACGGTTTCGAGGTGCCCTGATTTCAGCTTTCAGCCTCCTCCTCCTCCCTCTTTCTTGGCCAATTGGGCTGCTCCCATGCCCGTCTCTTTGTCACATTGACCTGGCTCTGGCCTACAGGCTGCAGCGCCTGCAGCCACACAAACCGACGTTGGCGAAGCAGCCTAGCGACAAAAAATGACGCAATAACCCTTCCCCAAGCATCCGATGTTTTGTTTTTTTTCATGCGGAGCCCCCAGAAATCCCAACCCTTTCCAACGTGCAGTGTTCTCATACCAAGTCGTTTTCTCGGACAGCCCCTGGGGCCAGCAAGAGCCCCCCGAGGTTTCAAACGGCGAATGAAACGCCGCTTTTTCACGACACGAGCATCATGTCTGGGTCAGCCTCCTCTACCTGCCTCCCTCCCCCTCCCCTTCCTCCTCGTCCTCGTCCGTCCCCCTCCCTCCTCCTCGTCCTCCTCGTCCTCCTCGTCGTCCTCCTCCTCCTCCTCCTCGTCCTCCTCCTCCTCCCTCCTCCTCGTCCTCGCCCTCTTCCTCCTCCTCTTCCTCCTCCTCCTCCTCCTCCTCGTCCTCCTCCTCCCTCCTCCTCATCCTCCTCTTACTCATCCTCGTCCTCCCCCCTCGGCTCTCATGCCCTTCTCCTCCCCCCGCCCCCCATGCCGATTCGGCTCTCGAGCCCTTCTCCTCCCCCCCCCCCTCCCCCTGGGTGGCCGGGTCGAGCCGCGCGGGCGGGCCCGTGCGGGGCCATGCTGAACGCGCTGGCCTTCTTCGGCAGTGGCCTCTGGGCCCGCTCGCAGTGCGCCCACGAGAGGGGGGGCCGCAAGCTCCAGGAAGAGGAGGAGGAGGAGGAGGAGGAGGAGGAGAGGAAAGAGATGATGATGGTGGTGGTGGTGGTGATGATGGTGGTGCTGTTGATGACTCTGGTGATGATGAGTATGGTGAGTCTGATGATGTTGATGACAGTGGTGGTGGAGGAGGAGGAGGTGGTGGTGGTAATGACGATGATGATGATGATGCTGCTGCTGCTGATGATGATGATGATGATGATGATGATGATGATGATGATGATGATGATGGTGGTGACAATGGTGATGGTGAGCGTGATGGTGAGGGTGATGGTGATGATGATGCTCACGTTGTTGCTGATGATGATGACGACGGCAACGACGGCGACGACGACGACGATGACGATGATGATGCCGATTATGAGTATTACGATGCTGATGGTAGTGACGATGATAAAAGTCATGACGATGATGATGATGGTGATGATGATGACGATGGCGATGATGGCGATGATGATGCTGATGATGATGTTGATGATGATGCTGGTGATGATGATAATGAAGATGGCAATCATGGCGATGGTGATAATGGCAATGATGATGATTGCGACTCCGATGATGATGACGATGATCATCATCATCATCATCATCATC